GTTCAATCTTCGTGAAGCTTATGAACTATTCTTATCTGAAAATCCTAGTACGACAATTTCTCGCTCTGCTGCTCGTACATGATATGTTGACAATACATGACTCGTTTACACTTCTCAGTGGGACTAACCATTCGATAGAGAAAGGCCCAGCTCTTTAGCTTATGCTGTTTAGGAAATATAAGTAGTTTCCTGAGAGCCCCAATTTCGGCCAGCTGGCCTTGGATCACTCCAAAAAACCTAGAAATATAGTAATCGATCATGCTGAGTCGAGTGGTGTAGTTTATTTGCAGTTTTGAAGCGAATTAATTCGCTAGATTAAACTTTTTTGAAATATCGACTCAATAAGCCGTAAAGCGCGACATAACTCCGGATATAAAAATTTCAAAAATATTTAATTTAATGATTTCAATTGCTTCGAAACTGCAAATAGACATCACCACTCGACTCAGCATGACCGATTACTATATTTCGAGGTTTTCTGGAGTGATCCAAGGTCAGCTTGCCGAAATCGGGGCTCTCAGGAAACTACTTATATTTCCTAAACAGCATAAGCTAAAGAGCTGGGCCTTGTGTACATTAATAGCGAACAATTTTCTCTATCGAATGGTTGTATTAGAATCTCAAATCCAACGGGAATCTTTTCTCCAAGCAGTGCCCAATATGTCAAGCGAAAACTCACCGATGGGTGAATTGTTAGCTTTCGATATTTCTTAATAAAGAATATTATTCTCTTTCGAATGTTGAAAACCGCAGGTCTCTAGCTGCTTCCTATCCGGAGTTATTCAACTTACAACCGACTCCATTGTTCATTGAAATGGATAGTAGTTATAGTGATAAGTAAAGTAATACAAGCTATTCACGCTTCTATTTGGAAACGTAACACCCGCCTTTATAGAATTGTACCGTCAACCTGCAAGCCTAATGCCAAGTACGAAATAAGCAAACAACAGTCACAACTACACTCCCTTCGTTTGCAGAAAATGCTTATATTTGGTACGTAACGAAATTTACAGTGTACACGTCAAATAACTAGAAAGATCAAAGTTATAAATTACAGTAAGGATAATATAGTAGTGTTGGACAATTCACGGCTATAAAATCGTACTTCGTCCATTTGACCGGTATACGGGAGTTTTTGAACTCCACCAGCTCTACAAGTTGTGCCTGCTCTTGAATTACCAAGTGTAAAGAAGTATGGACTGTTATTTGTTGTATATGATGAAATACTGTTATGTCCGGTTAGCGTAGCGTTAACATACAATCGAAGTCCATTTGATGGAGAAAACGTTTGAGCAATGTGTGTCCAAGTATTACTTGGTAAGATCGGTCTTATGACACTGACGGCATCACTGCTATATAAATTAACGACGATATTTCCAGTACTACTTAGTCCCATATACGGTACACAAAACCCTGTTCCGGCTGAATACGAGGAAGCGTGTATAATTGTCCCACCTGTGACAGCAAATGGGTATAATCACAGTAAGATTGAAAATGGTTGATTTGTCTGACCAAAGGCAACTAAATTTGATATTTGAAAATAGGCTGTGGACAAATTAAACAGAAGACTGTTGTTTTGGATGCTATTTGCAGTTGTCGCTAAAGCGTCAGAGCCTGCGCCATCCATATAATTTGGTCCACTGTCTTGTTGAAAATACAAGTCCCCGTTGCAACCAAATGAATAATGGGCAACTAATGTTGCATCTTCAAGTATTTCCTCCGATGTTCTTACACGCCTACTTATTAAGACCTGTCCGATTTTACCGTTAAAATACGTTTGATTTTGATTTTGATCTTGTGTTGTACCAATGGTTATATTACCACCAGAGGTACTGAGAGTAGTACCAGTTGTTGTTCCTTGCCCATCGAGTCTACCATTTAAATAAAGTAATTGCTGACTACCATAAGCAATATGATACCATTGATTTGTTGACAAACTTGTATTGCCAGTTACACTTTTAACACCACCCCACGACATGAACACAGAACTATTTAGAATACCAATGTACATACAGTTCATTGGGTTTAGACACTGACCCATTATACTCATATAACCAGCTGTATTAACAGTTT